TCCGCCTTCCCATTAAGATGCAGATTTACTGAAGTGCTGATAAGAACGCATTATAGCACACTAAAACTCTCCGAATGAAAATGAACAAGTTTCTCGAACAGGATATGCAAACTCAGTAATGCAAGGAAATTCAAGCCACTGACATAGTCCAGACGCAAGTCCATCTGCAATGTGCTCTAAAGTCGCCATTTTCAGTTTGGACAAACGATTTGCAAGTGCGTGGTTGGACCCCATGTAATGACTGCCAAGCCTTTCTTGTTATGAGCCATCTTCAGCCCCATGACTGGTCCATGTTCCCTGTGAACACCTACCGGAGACATCAAATCGAATATGTCCCATATATATATGCATCCGTTTCTACTACCTGAGATAATAATCCGACCAGATGTTGACACACCTACACCGGTAACGCCCGTGGTAGCCGCATCTTCATTGACGACTTGGTCGTTCCCTTCATCGTCCATTCCAGAATGATTCGAATATTTATTAGTAGTACTGGTGAGTCCATCACCAGCCGAGCTCTTCGAATCAGTCCGATTGTAACTGGCCAAAGGAAAATCAAGCCTCAGATCGTAGAGATTGACCACTGCATCATCAGACCCCGTGACAAATGTATGCTCGTTTGCATGCCGCTCCATGCAACTGATCTCGGACTCGTGACCATGCATCGAGCCAACAAACGGTTTGGATTGCCGCATATCCCAGACTCGCGGAACTCCGTCAGCTGCACCACTGACAAAAGACTGACCGTCAGAGGACAGCGGAAGTACCGCAGAAACATCGGTGTTGTGGAAGCACTTGTTAAGTACCTTTACATTGTTAATATCCCACATAACTACACCATCCACCGATGCCGCAGTGAGCAATTTATGTTCCTTCAGGTATGTAATGCAATTTATTCGACCCCCATGCTCAAAGACAGCCGAAGATACGTATTCCGAATAGCCGTCTTCAGGAGGACGGGGCTGGTGAATAAAAGCCTCGACATTAGCATAGAGACCTCCTGCGAACACAACGCTCAAATCTGGCGTACTGTCGGCCGCAGTAGCCTGATTCATTGTGATGTCAATAATATTACGGATGAGACCACTGCGCACATCCCAGATGCAAATGTAGTTGTCCGCCCCGATGGAAAGTAAGTTTTCGTCCGACGCCGCCCACGTGCATGTGCGAATGCGACCAGTGTGTGCGCGCAGATTGTGTACAGCGCTGAGAACGGGTAAGTTGGTCAGGATGCCAATCTCCGCTGCATTGGCGGCGTTCATCATACTCACTCCCTCGCATGCTTCTCGACGCAAGGCGTCAAGGGACGTACGCAACTGTGTTACCTCTTTCAACAGGCTCACCTCAATGTCGCGCCTGCTCATTGCTCCTACTCCAAATGACTTTATTGATTGGCGCACGTGATATGCCGGCAGTCAAACTGCAAGTCTGGAAACGGTAGGGGAGTTTTACTGCTAATGGCGTCCAGTGACAAGCCACAGCATGCATCTTAGGCGTTCGTGGTTCAGTCGTGTCATTGTCATCCTTACCATTAGTGACTGTGGAAGTCGCGGGCTGCAAAACTCTACTACAACAAAGTAAAGGGCCATATCTGAGTGACGACACATGTACATAGTAAAAGTTGTAGAAAGAAGCAGAGTCCAACTTCTAGACGCGGTAGAAGCTAACAGAGATCCTCCACTAATTGGAGACACTGCTCAGGCACCAAGTAGTCAGCAAGTGCGATAGTATTGCTCAGCAACATCGTCTCCCTCGGCGAACGAGCAGTCAGCCAGATGCGTCCATTGCAGCCCACACAGATCTCGAAAGGAAAGCGCTGAACGCAAAGACAAAGACGCAGTTACACGGGAACGGTGGGTTACATACTTTCGCACGCATTTCTCTACAGTCACAAACATATACCAGCACAGTTATTGACATAATCCAAATTATTACTCCTAAGGAACTATAACATGAGAGATGAAAATCGTGCAACCGGATTCCAAACAATTTTGAATTGCAATTGCCCTCATCACTTTTGAGGTTGCTTGATTACCCT